GAGGAATGTATCTACTGCCTCCTGTGAAAGGATCAGCATATTGAGCATCAGGTTTCGTAACTGGTGCGGATTGAGAATTTTTTATTATAAAATTTGCAACCTATAAATGAAAATAAATTGCCATAAAAATTATTTCTTATCGAAAAAAAATAAGCATTTATCTCAAGCTTTATACCTGATCTAGAAACCTCTGACCAAGATTGTTATCGTGAAGAAATTTCTGCGCGACATGCCACGGATTCTGATCATTGTTATAGGGTAATTTTAATGGAGGAACACCATCTTGTATATCCACAGAGAATACATAATCGTACTCTATGCCATTGTAAAGTTGTTTTCCAGATGTAGCTACGGTACCACCCGAAGCACCCATGACATTACCAATCTTTATCCACCTTTGTTCATTTTGTGACCAGCTATATGCTTTTATAGTATCTCCGTCGTTTACTATTTTAGTCTGACCATCTCTTTGGCCAGGCTGCAACAAGGCTTTTGTATCTGGTAAACTGTCAACGCAAAAATTATGATTTTAGCTTATTATTTACAATTTAATTCACTTCTCAGCTACTTGACTTACTCCTTAACTTTGATCCCATCTAGCTCTTGTTGAGCATTAAGCTTAACACTGGCTACTTGTTGCTCAAATTCCTGCAATGTCTCTGGATCTGCATATCGTTCAGAATTGCATGTAAATATCCTAACAACGCCATCAGAACTTCCAGTAACTATGTCGCCATTAGGAAGTAGAGCCAGACACCAAACAGACTGGGTGGGTAAAGTAATAGTTTGACTTAATTCTGTATTATGCCATATCCTAAGTGTCCGATCTTCGCCACAAGTAAATATACTTGTACCATTTTCTAAAGCTAAAATGCTATAGATATAATTTTCATGTCCACAATAGGTTCCTAAGCAAGTTCCAAGAGATACGTTCCAATGACGTACAGTGGCATCATTGGCACAAGTTAAAAATTCATTGCCACTTATTGGAGAAATATCACGAACACAATCTGTATGCCCAGTTAATTTATGCTGTATTGAACCATCGTTTGTCCATATTATAACAAGCTTATCTGCCGATCCAGTTATAATGGGCCCGTTTGACAAGTCTGTTACACACCATACAGCAGCTGTATGACCTAGCAAATTTAATTGTGGCTTGCTTAAGTCACTTAAACTCCATAATTTTGCACTCATATCCCAGGAACTTGACAAGAACGTTCCATCCTTTGTACCAGTTGTCAGTTTACAAACGGTATCCTGATGACTCTTTATAATATTTATGGGCTCCACTTGATCCGGAACATAGATACGTATGGTTTTATCATGACTACCAGTGATAATAAAACCTGTCGGATTTTGCTCGGAGGGATTTACAATGCATACAGAAGTAACAAAATTCGAATGTCCTTTCAAAGTCGCAGTGTGTTCATAGTCTCTTCCATTTCTGTAAAATGTTCATACAATGTCATTTACATAATGCAGCACTCATGAGGAAATACGATTTACATGGAATAAGTAAAAAAGGAATTTCTTTACTATGCTAGAATACCAGTACTGCAATAACACATCGTATCGAGTTGGATTCTTTAATCGTTCAGAATCCAGCTCACATTTTTTTACCATATTTATTGAAGTTACATACGTATATCAGTACAAAAGAGTTTTCTAGACAGTAAAAAGGTCTTTATAAAATGAATTGTTATTTATTTATTCGTAGTAGCAAATTTCATCGGAGGTGGTGAGGAGGGCCGGTGTACGATATTACGGAGTTAATGAAATCGAACAGGTTAAATACCCGCATGATTTCCAAATACGTGCGGTTTCGTCCCTTGAAGTAGAAACTATAGTTCCGTCGGCGAACGTCGCCACAGCTCTCACGTCGGATGTGTGCCCGAAAAGACAAGTTCTCAGCTTATAACACGGCTTAGCCATAACACTCTGGTAGTCGTGCGAGGCACGCAGCAAGGACATTACTTATGCGAACACCGTCGCTGGGATAATGTTCGCCGATTCTCGATGCGAATAAATGTGGACAAATTCGCACAATTTTAACATTTAAAACGCACCCGGGCATGCGTGACAATGATCACTGTGCTCGTACGGCGTTACATGCATTTTTCCCCCCCGCATAACTACGTTCTTTATACGTAAACAAAGTTCTCCCTTGCTTTTTTGCTAACGTCATTAGCCTAACGTTGTCGTTCGAGCTGGTTTCACGAAAAATCGTAAAGACGAGCATAAAACTTATTAACATCTTATGACGTGCAAATTCAATTAATTGGTTATTTTCATGAATTTCTCATTGAAATCGTAATTCGCTAAAATTGATATTTCCTCGTCTTTTTTGCTTTCTTTTTGGACACCAGATTTTTTGTTGCACATCCGCCTTGATATATCGCAAACATATCAATTGATTGCAAATTGGCTTTAACATTTTTGGCGGGGATTTTAAATGTTACGAAATGTTCTAGGTTATATCAACATAATTTATATTTAATACCGTACCGCCATATATGTATACTATTATATAATATATAATGATGTACATATGTGTATATTTTGTAAAAAATAAATTGTCTTCGTCATTAATTATTAATATAGAGTAAATTCAATCCGTACGGTTGAAGCATGTCACTTCCGCAAAGTGAGCAACTTCCGTTTGATTACGTGTTGTAAATGGAACCGCTAATTTAAGATAATAGACCGGTGTCGTGGTACAGAAATTACCGTTTATAATGAAATTTATAAATAAATTTCTTTGTTTTGTTGTAATATTTGGAGCAGTTAATGCCGGAGGGCCTACGCTGGTTTTGCTTGATAATCTAGCTATAAAAGAAACACATTCCATATTTTTCAAGACCTTACACGGTATGTAAACATTTGGTTATGAAATTCAATGAAACAGTCATTTGTTATCAATCTATCTTAAATCTTTTTATTTTTCTCGAATTGGAATAGCATTAAACGTGTTTAACTGTACTGTACAATATTTAATTGCACTAATGTGATATATTTTGCAGAAAGTTTGACGTTATGTTGTTAGTAACTTCAAAAACTTTGTTATAGATAGTGGATACACGTTAACATTTAAATTAGCCGACGATGCTAATCTGCAGCTTTCTAAGTATGGAGAGTATTTGTACCAGCATTTAATAATATTTGCTCCTTCTGTGGAAGAGTTTGGAGGAGTACTGAGCGTTGAAACAATAACAGACTTTATCGACGGTGGTGGTAACGTTCTAGTCGCTGGTTCATCTCAGTCTGGAGATGCTCTTCATGAACTGGCTTCAGAATGTGGTTTTGAAATTGATGAAGAGGGTTCTGCAGTCATCGATCATTTAAATTATGATGTTTCTGATAATGGTTATCATACTAAAATAGTAGCAGACTCTGTCAATTTAATAGATGCTCCTGCAATTGTTGGAAACAAAAATGTATCGCCTTTACTCTATCAAGGAACTGGATTGATCGCAGATATAGAAAATCCTTTAATTTTACGTTTACTAACAGCATCTAGTTCAGCATATTCTTACAATCCACAAACTCCTATAAGGGACTATCCGCATGCAGTAGGCAAAAATACATTGTTGATTGCTGCTTTGCAAGCCAGGAATAATGCTAGAGTAGTATTTTCTGGTTCATTATATTTCTTCAGTGATGAAGCCTTCACTAGTCCTATTCAAAAAGCTCAAGGTAAAAAGAATGTGTTAAATGTTATAATTCTTTCTTTATGATCATGCGTTAAACGATGTATAGGTGGCCAGAAGTATGAGAAATCTGGAAATGAAGCCGTAGCAACGATGATCGCTCGCTGGGTGTTCAAGGAGAATGGCGTGATCCGTGTCTCGGCTGTTCATCATCACAGAATTGGAGAATCTGAACCTCCAGCAGCTTATACTATCATGGACGATGTAGTTTATTCCATCGACGTTCAGAAACTAGCTGGAGACAAATGGGTTCCTTATGAAACTAATGATTTACAATTAGAATTCGTTAGAATAGATCCCTTCATTCGCATGACCATGAAACCTGTAGGAAATGGTCGATACGAAGCAAGATTTAAAATCCCCGATGTTTACGGAGTTTACCAATTCAAAGTAGATTACACTCGTATTGGTTTGACGCACTTATACAGCACTACTCAAGTGTCTGTGCGTCCTTTGCAACATACTCAATACGAACGCTTTATACCCAGTGCATTTCCTTATTATGTAAGTGCATTTTCAATGATGGGTGGCGTATTCTTATTTTCTCTGGTGTTTTTACATTACAAAGAAGACACAAAACCGAAGTCTGAATAAATTCAATATTGATGAAATGCATGAGATAATTTACCATTATTATTTCGTTAAGAAAAATAGAAAGATGCAATTAAGTGACTCAGACTTATCAGTTAAGTGCATTTATGTTGCATATTTAAATATCTGACAGCAGATTTATATTTATTTAATGAAGCATTGAAAAAGAAGATGAAGGAGAAAGGAGAGAGATGTACATTAAATGTTGGTATGATGGCCGATATTCATTAGGTAACTTTGAAAAATGTTTTTTGTATCTCTCGTAATAAATGAAAAAAAGAAATGTAAACGAGTCTCTTTTTTTTCAGTTCGATTGCAGAAATGCAATAAATTTGCTATGTATATATTAATATATATATATATATATACAACGAGGAAAATGTTTTTATTGATTGATAAACCCAAGTTCTAGATGCATAATGTTTGAACGCGGTGAATCGTATAAAAAATGCATAAAAATTATTTTATCTTTAATCTTAATTTTTTCGATGAACTTTTTAAGTCTTGAAAATTTCGATGACAGTAATAAAAAAGTTAAACTGTGTGTTTATGTAAATTTATATTTTTGTAAACATAGAGTTCAAAGATTTTTTCCCAGGTATATATTATACTTTTATGTTCTGTATATTTTTCATATTTAAATTGTACGCAAATGTACAAGTATCTATAATCTATTAACATTATACATAACAGCGTACCTCCAAACTCAGTTTGTAGGAATAATTAGAATTTTATATTGTAGAAAGGAGATTTTGTGATTATAGATAATCAAGTTTCAAAGTTCCTTCCATGATGTCGAAATTGGATGTTCAACACGATGGTATTCGCGATCGATGAGGCTTGTTTGATATGATCTGTATCGTTAACGGGAGATATCGTGATTTTCGTAATTTAGTAAAAGAAATAGTATTTCAATGTGAAAAATGTTACTTTTTCTCGGGGAAAGCTGCACCTCGCCGATCGTGCGATCCATAATTGCTATTACATCGTGAGTTTCGAAATTTTGGACGAAACTCTGTCAACTATAACCTATGCAGATTATGTTTATGCTCCTGTATATAAATTCATTCTCGTAGTTGTTAAGGAACTTTACAATCTTCCAAAATGTTGGAAGGACTTGTCGCCTGGGTATTAAACAATTACCTTGGGAAATATGTGGAAAATTTAAATACCGATCAACTGAGTATTGCCTTATTGTCTGGTAAGGTTATATTTCCTTTCCTAATTATATTCATGTGATTTAACAAAGAATTTCTATTAAAATATTCATTGACAACGCTTGTTCATTAATAATACTTCTTTCATTCTGTTCAAAAATTTAGATTTAGTTGAATATTATATTATTGCTTGTAAAACAACCTTGGAATTTACTTTTCATGCAATCCCCTCAAACATACAACGAAATTTAATGTTTTTATTTAAAGAAAAATTATTCTATTTTAGGTGAAGTTGAATTGGAAAATTTGCCATTAAAAAAGGAGGCTTTGCGTCATATTGGGTTACCGATAGAAATAAAAGCAGGGTTTATTGGTAAAGTAAGATTACAAGTACCTGTTCGTCAAATAAGGACAGCTTCATGGGTCATAGTGATAGAACAACTTTACTTGGTAGCTGGACCAATCAGTTTAGATGAGGTATATGAAATGTGGTTCTCTTGTAATATATAGATGAAATATATAAATTACGATTCTCTTATAGTATGTATTTCCTGTTTTATATATTTATAAATAATTATTTATAGTTTGATAGTGAAACAGAGGAGCAGGCAATTTTAGAGTATAAGCTAAGTCGATTAGATTCATTAGAAGCCAGATGGAGAACAGACACAGAACGAGATCCTGGTTATTATGCTACTAGTTATAGTTCTTGGGTAAATTATGGCACTTCTTTGATCACGAATATTATTGAAAACTTGCAGCTCAATATCAAAGATGTTCATATAAGATATGAAGATAGCGTGACTTTGCCAGATGGTAAACATAGTTTTTTTATTTAATAGAATAAGAAATGAAGATGAGCAAATATATTACTGAAAAAAAACTTTGACCAATAGATACTGGCGTTGCACTTGGTGTAACTATAGGAGCTCTAACTGCACAAAGTTGTGATGCCAGTTGGATACCAGGTTCCACTTCCTGGAATCTTACAGATGCTTCTTTCAAGCTCATGGAACTTGACAGGCTTTCCATTTACTGGAATCACTTGAAAAAAGATGAATTTCTTGGTTCTCTCAATCTCGGTGATTTAGCTGTATATATTTATTTTTCTACATCTAGTTCGAATAATTAGAAATAAAATATCCAATAATGCTGATTTTAATTTTCTTTGTAGATCGCCATGAGCGAACCAAAGAATATAATAAAGAACCATATTTTGTTACCTGTTAATGCGAGAGCTCATATTAAGAGAGATAGATCTGAGCGACCATTAAGATCTACGAATAAACCTAGAATGATTGTCGATCTTTTATTAGATGATGTTCCATTATGTCTTACAGATGTAAGTTCAGAACTTATATGTCTGTTTTGCATATATAAAGTTTGTATATTACAAGTGGCTTCCTGTTACAGGTACAGTATGATCAAATAATTAAATGTATAAGAGGATTAAAAGATATAGAACGTCGTAAGCAACAGAGATCTTGTCGTCCAGTGATTAGCGTGTCGGCTGCACCAAAAGAATGGTGGAAGTACGCGGCAAGGTGTCATCTCGGCAAAGATGCTCTGAAACCTAAACCATCATGGGGAGATATTTTTCAGAGAGGCAAAGAAAACATTTTGTATGTGGAGAGTTACGCTAAATTGCTAGGTATTTAAAGAAAAATTATGGGAATTTATCACTTACCATTGTTCCTTGGTGTCAATTAGTATTATTTTATAGGCACACCAACTACTACTATTTTATCTACAGACATGAAACAGTTAAAAGAGAAGATAGAGCAGGAACGAAGTTTTGATGAATTGAGAGTACTGAGGGAAATAGCAATGTATAGAATCAATCCACCGAAAGTGCATCAGAATTCTGATGTGAATGTACCACAACCTAGAGGAATGTTGGAGCAGTGGTTTCCACAGTGGTGGGGCTGGTATTCAAAGAGTTCAAATACGAACACTCAGAGCACATCTTCTACGTTTGATGGAGAACTTTTAGATGTTCTGGCAGACACCATAGACGATGACACTTTGTTACGTCGAGATACAGTGTTTGGACAGTTCAATTTCACTCTTTCGAAAGGTGCTTTCTCCCTTTGCACGATGAAAAATGACGGTGAGAATATGAAAGCAGTGATAGAGCTGCAGTTTGAACGAGTGAACTTGAGTTACGATTCGAGACCAAGATACGGATCTCACAAATTCTTCATCAGTTTGGGAGCCTTGTATCTTCACGACTATCTCACAGAAAATTCTACTTTTCCCATTCTGGTGCAGCCCCAAATAATTCCTACAATAAACTCTAGGGTACGCAGCTCTTCAGAAAAACTAACCAATCAATTGCCTCAACAACTTTTTGAAATGACTTACGAGAAAAGACCGTTGCACTCGAATGCCGATCACTTGTTGCAAGTGAATTCAAAGTCCTTAGATGTAGTTTACAATCCTGCGGTGATACACTGGCTTATAGACTTCATGAGTAAACCACACAGACCATCAACCAATCAAAAGTTTCAAGCGATGAAGCGGCGAACCCGGAGACAACTTATCAAAAACTGGGAACAGATTTTGGACGGAGATCTGGTATATCGTTCCTCCTGGGATTTGCAATTTAATATATCTGCACCACAAATTCTGCTAGTTGAGAATTTTATCGATCCTAATGCCGCGGTGGTAGTCGTTGATTTCGGAAAACTCCATTTGTCGAACAGCATACAGGACAAGGCAATCATTAAATCAGACTCTCCTGAACCTAACAGCGATGACGAGGACGAGAGATTCGAGACACCTTGCTCGACACCGCCCGGAAGTCAAGAAAACGGTTCTATACAAGATTTTCAGACCATTTCCGAGACGGCGTTGCATCAAAAGCTGTACGATCATTATTCCATCGATCTGGTGGATTTGCAAATTCTTGTAGGAAAGGTAAAGGATAATTGGAAACACGTGCGAACCAGGGGGATGTCTAGCTTGCACGTTTTAGAACGTTTTAACATATCCTTGCAAATTGAACGAAGAGTGTTCGTTTCCTCTGATCCGAATTTGCCGTCGGTGACTGTGTCTGGGAATCTGCCGAGATTGGTGGTCCATGTCAATGAACAGAAGGTGGAAGCAATTAGATTGATGTACAGCTTGTTGTCCAGCTTCTCGAAATCCAGCGGCATTTCTCAGGCTGATATGATCAGTATAGAACCAAAGAGTCCCAAAAAAGAAGAGAGCCTAGAGAAATCTGTGAGTCATGCGGTCATGGTCCAATTTATCATTGATCAAATGACCTTCGAATTGCAATCTAGAGGTCGCAGTGTGGCGGAGCTGCAGGTCTCTGGGGTTCGAGCCGCCTTTAGTAAAAGAACTGCAGATATCAGCGTTTCCCTCTCTGTTCATGGTTTGCTTCTTGTCGACGCGCTTCAGGAATTCGGTCCTGATTTTGAATTATTAGTGGCCAGTCACAAACACGTGGGGATGGACAGCATTTCTGGGAGCCTGAGAGATTCGGAACCAACGTCCCCTGTCTCCCCAGTTTCTCCCGGTTCTCCCGATCCCAATGTACCGAGGAGATTGACCTCTCCAATTGCTTTGACCAATGCTTTGTCAAATCTAGCGAGCAAAGCGAAGAGTGCTCAATCGCCTAGAAGTAATTCTTTGATCGAACTGGAGAAAATGGATTCTGAAGCTCTGATAGTAGTTGAATTAACTCTGGTGTACGACACATTGGAGGTTTTAAGAGTGGCCAACATTCAATTCAATAACTTGGATATTATTGCCAATCAGGAAACCATAGTAGAACTCATGGGATTCTTTAAAAGAATATTCCCTTCTCAAAGAAAAATGAAGCCAGGATACATCGAGAGACAAGAATCCCTCTCAAACCAAACCACCGAGCCAAAAGTTTCCACCAGGACGGAAATAACCTTTGATTTCCACAGATTGAACGTGCTTCTGTTAAGAGCTGTAATGCAGGACAATCACTTGGTAGGTCAGAAAATCGCCACAGCCACGATGTGCGACGCTCGTATACAGGCTACCTTATCGGTAAACGCATCCATCTCTGGTTCACTTGGAGGCTTACAAATTTTGGACCAGACGTCAACTGGTAAAACGCATCAGAGGATTGTCAGTGTTGGAAGAGATCCAATAGCTGACCCACCTCAACATCCGTTGGAACATTTTACTAATCTGTCTGATCAGCCGGAAGCTTTACGATTCTCCGCAAATCGATGTACCAAACCATGCGCGCAAGATGGAATGGAAACCTTAATAGACTTGACTATTCGCATCGGCAGTGTTTGGTACACCCACGCTCCTCATTTATTGTCGGAATTACGTTCTTGTGCTGATGAGTTCAAGCAGTACTTGAGCAAGGTTGCACGGCAGATCAGCGCAGCTGCTACAGACATGGCCATAGGCCTGGTGAACGCAGAGGATTGGTCCATCCCACCGCGTAGACGGCTACCAAGTCTGTCTATAGATCTGGAAAATTCAGGAAGCCTATCCTTGAAATTGGATCTCCTGTTGAATAGTCCTGTTCTGGTAATTCCGCGCTCGTCTCACAGTAGACAAGTTTTCGTTGCACATCTTGGCACTATGTCCTTGCAACACGAGCCTCATCCGGGCCCTATGGCGAAGCACAAAGTGACTTTGGAAGTTCGAGAGATGAACCTGTACTCTTTGGAGATATCCTCCAACGTGGGACAAGCTCACAGCAATCTCCCTTTAAGAGCCGAGGAAATATACTGTTGTAAGAAATCAGGCAAGCCAATTCTGCACGACACCGTGCTGAGAGTCGTGGTTGAAAAGGAGAATACGTTGGCGCAAAGCCCCAGTTTCTTTCTTGACAGTGAATTTTCTAGCAGTCCTATTGTCCAAGTTCACGGGGTCGTGATGACGCCACTGAAAGTCTCCTTGTCCAGAGGTCAATACGAACAGTTATTAGATACAACTAACAGACTTTTTTCCATGCCAGTGTCCATACCTGTTGTTCAGAAGTCTCAAACGATGAGCAAGGTACCGAATTATTCTGATAAACTTGATCTCTCCATCAAGGTTTTATTCGAATTGCCCACTCTAGGTGTAGAACTGAAACAGGGACCTCTGGAACAGCCGTTAGTTGAATTATCCATGAGGGATTTCGTGGCGAAATATGAGAAGCTGCAGAAAAATGAATCCACTGTCCAAGTTGCCCTACGATCCCTTCTCATGGAGGATCTTCTGTGTCCAATCGGCTCCAGGCACAGATGCATGATGCAATCTTCAGCTCCAACTCGCGCCAAACTTCTAGCTGGAGTCTCCAAGTCTTGTCCTGACTTTGCATTTGTACAGCAGGTCAGAAGCGAATTTGGACGGGGGAGTTTACCCGACAGATTGGAGACTGATACCTTGTACGGAACAATCCCGGCTCACTGGCGCAGGAAACCAGTCTCTTTGGCAAACACGCCAAATACTCCGCCGCCGTCACCCGGCGCGTCGACCAGTGAAGAGAATCTCGTACTAATGAGCATCACCATAACAGAACCGGATTGTGATCTGCCAGCAGAGGGCCAGTTTCACCAGAAAACCGTTACCGTGGATTTTAATTGCTTAGATTTGATCATTAGCGTCGAATCTTGGATGGTGGTGTTCGACTTCTTTGGATTTGCCGGCCCCTCGGGCAACAATCCTAAAGTTGCAACGCACCAGGCTTCCATCGACACGGATCAGCCAGACAAGGGGGATGATCTACCTCTGCGGTCGGAAACCGAGATAGAAGTCAGGTCTTTAACGTTGGTTTTGATACAGTCTGAAAGAGAAATTGCTAAAGCCAATGTGTCCAACGCCAGCATGCATATCTTGAAAGCAAATAGCAAGACCAAGGTGTCAGGATCCTTGGGGTCGATGTCTCTGCTAGATTTAACGCCGCACGGGAGATTTTACAGGGAGAGATTCCTCTCCTCTGGCAGGAAAGCCTTGAATTTTCAATATTCCAGCTACGTTGATTCCGAGAAACGACCTTACGACGCTCGATTAAAACTGGAGATGTCCGCTGTCCATTACGTACACACACAAAGGTTCGTGGCAGAGCTTCAAGCGTTTTTTGGCCATTTCTCTCAGCTTTGGACCATCATGGCTAATCTGCGGGCCGGTGTCGGCGCCGTAATCGACACCAACAAAAGAAGCATAAGATTGTCTTTAGAATTAGAGGCAGGCGCGCCAGTAATTCTGTTACCAGTTAGTTCCAGGTCAGACGAGCTGATACTGTTGGATCTAGGGGAGCTCACCGCTCACAATCGATTCGAGGTTTCAGAAGTGATAGACAAATGCATGCTGGACATAATGTTCCTCGAGCTTGTTAACATGGACGTTTACGCGGCTAAACGGATCAAGTGTGACGATATGAAGAACGGCGATATGGATGCCTTGGTTGTCGGTGGTTTCCAGATTAAGAAACTCGGCTCGTCGTTGCTCACCGAGATGTGCCATTTGAAATTACGCATCGAGAGGAACTTGGACACGTACGTCAGCAGGGAGATCCCAGATTTGAGCATTCACGGAACTCTGTCCACGATGGATTGCGCATTAGATCCTGCTCAGTACATGCTGATTCGTGGTTTGCTCTCCTACAACATCGGCGAGAATCTGGATGACCTGCGTCAATTCATGCAGGATCTAAACGGGACTGTCGAGTATTCGATAGTCAGCGTGGACAACAAGGAGAGAATTTGGAAGAGGTCGTGCATAACTCTGGAATTGGTAAACGTTACGGTGAAGCTGCACCCAAATCACAATATCGCAGCGTTGGCTTGCATTAATTTTATAAAATCTAGACTGACGTTGGACTCATTGAACGACGGTTCGCAGGATATTGACTTGGTCTCGCAGGAAATACTAATTACGGACATGAGGTTCCAGGATGAACCAGTTGACAAGCAGTCCAACGTTTTCACGAGTATCCTGCAGCCTCTGAGGAATTCCAACAACGAAAATCGTGTTCAGGCCGAGGTGCATCATAGAAGGCGTATAGCAAGCGCGGCCACGACCATTCTGGTCCACAGCATGCGCCTAACCGCGATATTAGATTGGTGGGAGGCTGTCAGGGACTTCCTGATGCTGAATTCCATAGAACCAGAACCGATTCTTGGAATCACTCAGATAACCACCGAAAACAATCAAGAGAACGACAGTAACGCTTTGATTGCAACACCGTTCGAATTGAAGATTAATATCACCGACTCGGAATTAGTTATCGTGGAGGATACGTCAGTTCGCGATACAAACGCTGTTATACTGAAGAATACAGCGGTCCTTTCCTACAGATCTGTTCCCCAGGAAGGTGAGAAGCCCCTTTCTTGCAATCTGTCACATTGCGAGCTGTTCTCATGTACCTTAGGACTAGAGGAGGAGACCGCTCTGTCTATAATAGATCCTGTGGGCGCCAGTTTAGATTTAACAGTAGACAAGTGTCTCGAGATACAGCTACAACCTCTGTGCGTGAGATTAAGCTACCACGACGTGACTATGTTCTCTAGGATGCTCAGCTCTCTGCCGAAACAGACTCTCGTAGCCAAGCAACGCTCCATCGAAGCGTTGACACCTACCGAGAGACAAGTGCAGAAATTGATGGCTCTGGGATTTACCGATGCCGATTGCAGAGCTGCTTTGGATCGCTGCAACGGCCAGCTGGACGAGGCAGCTTTATGGTTGACGCAACACGCGGTGCCTAATTCCGACACCAGCACGAACAACGAGTTCGTCTTTCACACGCTCGAGGTACAAACGTCGTGCGCTACGATATGCATCATAGACGACTGCAGAGACGCCGATGTACCATTGCTGGAGATCTCGTTGCAAGACCTTAATTTGAGGCAAGAACGCGTGGGACCTGGCACAGTGTCCGCCACCTTCAGCATTAATTATTACAACAGAGTTCTCAGTGGCTGGGAGCCGTTCGTCGAACCATGGCGTTCCACGCTCCGATGGGAGCACGTATTAACTAATTCTCTCGATGCGACGAGGCTGCAAATGTCCGTGGACTCTCAGGATTCTGTTAACGTTAACATAACTTCAACGTTGATAGAGCTGATAGAATTGGTGAAGAACAACTGGATGCAGGATTTCTATTCAACTTCCAATAAGGATGTTAATTTGAACAAGGCGAGCAACGGCCAGTCCTATCGGCGTCGAATGCCTTTTGTCCCTTTCGCGTTGAGGAACGAAACCGGCTGTAAATTGTGGTTCAAAACGATCATCGCCACCGCGGACGACGCGAAGAACGTGGGACAGAATTTCAAAGTCAAGAATGACTTTCAAAAGGACGACACGTGGCTCGAGGTTCTTCCAGGCGATACCGTTCCGTTCACTTTCGAGGGAAGAGGCAAATTGAGACATCACACCACGCATACCGTCAGGAGGCATCAGATTACAGCAATAGTGGATGGCTGGAGACCCGTGGATCCTGTCACTGTCGACCGCGTTGGAATATACTTTCGACACGCAAGTGCAAACATTACTGGCGTACAGATAGATACGACGCTGGTTTGTAAAGTTCATCTTTACTTCGTCACTTGAACTTAGTTCTTCCTTTCTATTTCTTGTCATTTGAACGGTCCTTTTCAGTTTCAGATTCTAACGCCAAAGGCTAGGATAGTGTTCGCTGTCGAACTAGAAGGATCAGCTAGAAAATTAGTAACCGTTAGGTCAGCTCTGCAGATATCCAATAAATTGAAACACACGGTGGAGGTCAAGATGGAGAAATCTTTGAATCTCTATGGATGTAGGTTGTTTACACAAAGTAAAATGGAATCATCGTCGATCGAGTTCTCAGTTTTGTTTTCTTTGTTTTAGATATGCCTTTAACTTCGTCTGTTAGCGACAGAATTCTTCAAGTACCTGCCCAGTCCACGATATCGGTCCCCCTAACGCACACTGGTGTACAAATGTGTCTGAAACCCATCAATTTAAACAATTTATTTCAATACTGTACAGAGACAATAGATTGGACTGTAGTTAAGAAACCATTAGAAATTATAGAAAATCGTATGACTTGTAGGGCTAATCATAACAATATATTTAGGTACTATTCGAATTATATATGTAAATTATTGATTGAGTAGACTAGCTTCTAAATCAATCTGTTTTGTAGAATGTGCATAGCAGTGATGAGAGATAATTATCCATTGGATATGAGTCAAATGCTGCCAGCACATACTATAACGGTGATGGCTCCTCTTACGTTAACTAATTTATTGCCTCACGAATTGTTATTCGAGATCAGTCCAGAGAGTGGTAGAATTCTACCTGGTGAGAGTGCTGACTTGCATTCTGTAAACGTCGAAGAACAACTAGAAATCACAGTACAGCTAGATGGATATCCTGGCTCGGGCACGGTAAGTAAAGTTCCATTCGTTTTAAGTTGTTTCAATATTTCATTGATGTTCAAGGTTTATTTTTTGTAGATGTTGTTACTACCAAGTACCAATTCTTTCACCGCTCGTCTACGGCTGACAGATTCTTGCGGAAGAATATTATATCTGCACGCAGCTGTTAGCATAGAGAAAGGCTCTGCCATACAAATCAACATCACTGCGCCTTACTGGATTATAAATAAAACTGGCTTACCACTGGTGTTTAGACAAGAAGGAGTTGGAATTGAGGCAGCGGGACAATTCGAGGAAAACGAGAAAGCCAGAATGGTGGCGCCTTTGTTATTTTCCTTCAGCGACGAGGAAGCTAGTAGAACTATGTCAGTGAGAATCGGTACTTCGGTGCATCCCCAAGGAATCCCACAATGGTCTCAACATTTTCATCTACAACCTGGAATACAGGTTTGCAAACAGTAAAGAGATAAAATAAAAATCGAATAGAAATTCAAATTAATCTTTTACATTTTCAGGTGCATCGTCTTAGAATATCTCTTCGTGACGGCAGGCCTGACATAGTGTATCTAATTAGTGTCGCTACCAGGATAGCCAGAGGAAAATACAGAGCTACGAGCGTAGTCACGTTGTCCCCTAGATATCAACTGCACAATAAATCAAGTTCTACCTTGGAGCTAGCCCAGAAATGTTTTACCACGACAATCGTAAGTAACAACAGGAAATTTATTCATCACTGTAGCCTCTCATTGTTTTTCACTTTTCAGAGTCATCCAGATGCTCAAGCCACATATATTAAAATTATGCCTAATTGCCACATGGCATTTCACTGGCCACGTCTTGACAAAGATTTGTTGCTATGTGTTCGCATTATGGATGTTAAAGACTGCATGTGGTCAGGCGGTATCAAATTGGATGATAATTACTCATTGACAGTTAATATCAGGGATTCGACAGGAAAGATGTATTTTCTTCGAGTGGACGTGGTTTTACAAGAGAGTACGTACTTTATAGTGTTCACTGATGCAGACACTATGCCACCACCTATAAGAGTGGACAATTTCTCAGAGGTGCCTTTGATAGTGAATCAGGTGATTAATCAAAGATGTACAATCAAATATGCTTCAAACATCATTATCATCTGCAGATTTTTATGTAAATTTCTATTTTTCTGAAGATATTGAAGAATATATTGTGCATTCCTGTAAATTTTTCACAAATGCATAAATATCTGCAGTCTAATCATCAGTTTTCGTTCGCTATGCCATTTAACTGAATTAATTAGAAACTATTTTCAAGAATGTTTTTGTAGGTTACTGTGCACGACAACTTGCAATGGACTGTCAGGCCGCATTCCTCTGTACCATACGCACTGGATGAATCAATAGAGTCTGCCGCTTTAGTTCTGACTGCACCGGGAGGCGTGACAGCTACGTACGATTTGAATGCACTTGGAGAGGGCAGAGTTCTGACTTACGAGAACTTCATTTACATTGCTTTCACGGGTAATTTGTTTCTTTTTTTTCTTTATAGGATATTTAATTACTTTTCTCTCGTAAATCACATTATTTATTGAAAACAGGAACATTTAAAACTGATTGCGATCTGGGGACTGGAGAGGGTGGTTTAGATCCTCTAGATGTTGAAACACAAAGACTAGTTTTAGAAGCTGGTCCTGGTGGTTGGGTTGCTCTGCGGAGGAAACAATATGGAGCTAGATCTCAGCTATGGAGAATGACTGGAGATGGTCAATTGCAGCATGAAGGTATTATAGAAAGAATATGTCTTCGTTGAGCTTGTATTTCTGGTAATTGTTTTAAAATGATTCTTTTTAACGAATAGGATCTAGTCCACCCAGAGACAAGCATTCAAGGACTCCGGAAACGGTGTTAGTGTTGGACATAGCAGGTACAGCACCTCAACCATTTACCTATTGTGCTCTTGCCTTAAGGAAACCTGATTCTCGAAGAAGATCCACGCAAACTTGGCGATTCACTGATGATGGACGATTATGCTGTGCGCATAAGAATATGTGCCTACAGTCGAAAGATGGATTCATGGGATTGCACGAAGGTTTGAAACGTTATGGTTACTGAACGTTGCATTGTTTTTTAATCAGTATTTTAATTGATTGTTTTGTCATTTTTTATATAGATCTTTTTTATATTCAGAATAGAGTGTACATATAAGTAGGATTGCTTCGACAATTGACAAAAAGACCGAACAGTTGCAAAAATCTTTTAGTTTTTTTAATCCACTTTATATACAAATTTCGTTCTATTCATTATCATGCCCTTTTACTTTATTTGCCACAGCTTTCACATAATTTACTTATTGATGTAATCAGTATTCGCTGATACGGTCATTATGCCATGCAAATTGAGATGTTAAAGCGGTTAAAACGATACTTCACTTCTTTCGTTTATTATTAATGTTTGAAAAACAAAATATAAGAGATAAGTATCTCGGTTTGAGCAAAGTGGCTGTAAATGTGTAGTTACAAATCAGTGTTCTGTATTCCTCACATTCAACTAATTTAAAAGTTCTAGCTGTTTTCTCCGTTTAATCTACGAATTATCATTATTCTCGTGACTCTTAAACTCATAATGATAATGTTGCAGGCGGCAGTGTCGCCCGTTGGCAAATGTGTACGTATAGATTCGGAGTACATTAAAGTCATCAATTAAATTACATATTTTAAACGTTCAAATTTCCGCTTGTTTTTTTATTTCATTAACGCTATGTTCATCAAATAACAAAATGCATGAGATAATACTTTAACCTTAGTCTCTTTATATAGCCAGTTAATCCCCTCAGAAATATTCGTCACACGCAGTTTTTCTGTGTCTTTTTAGGGAGCGAAGCGGTATTAGGTCCTCAAACGCACATTAGCCCTCCTCCGATCGAACAACGTGTTGGTCGACAAAAGTTGAGACCAGGTTCTGGTTTTTTATCTGTTACGGTAACCACTGACGGTCCAACAAGAGTGCTCCAGGTTTTAGACATCAAAGAAAGGGTACGAACACCGAAATAAGTACCTTCAAGACACCACTACTCAATTTCTGATTTCTATTTGCAGAAGAAGACGTTCGCTCTGTTGGAAGAACGTGACTGGTCGCACATTGCAATCAGCCACCGACCCACGCAAATAAACAGCGACGCAGAGAAGGTCAATTCCAAAGAGTTGGAATTGAAAGTCAACTTAACAGCTGGCTTAGGGCTGTCAATTGTTTCTCGAAGACCGGTTGAGGAGCTGTTGTTTGCTCGTCTGGCTGACATCTCTTTGGAATTGGTTCAAACGCCTGTTAACACTACCGTAGATTTGAGCGTGGAGGACATACAAATTGATAATCAACTGTTTGAGGCACAATGTACTTCTGTTCTTTATGTAACACGACCCAGTCGAGTCGAGAGTGAGCACAGGCCAGCTATACATGTGGTCGCGGAGAAGTTGAAATCGAAGAACCAGAATGCAGAGATATACAAGCATGTGGTAGTGAGCATCAAGCCACTTTGCATACATCTGGAAGAGAAATTGATACTGAAATTGGTTGCCTTTGTCGGGGCGGGAAGGTCGGAGTTAGAGACACCTGTGGACGAGAATGACTTCAAGGCTCAGAGGTTTATCTCCGAGGTATCTGCTGCACACGCAAAACGATACTATTTTGGTGCTTTAAAGATCGTTCCTAGTCAGGTTGGTTTTACTAATCGGAGTTCCTAACGAAGCGTGCAGTATCATCTCACGTGAATATATTTCTGCAGGTAAAGTTAAGTGTACTCACTACGACGAAATTGCCGCGTCATCTTCAGTTAGTAAAAAGACAATTAGGTTTAACGCTGATCAAGTTTGAGGACGCCACCATTGAGTTGGAGCCATTTATCAAGAAGCATCCGTTCGAGAGCACTCAGTTCTTAGTACATTCCATTGTGAAACATTATAAGGATGTACGACCGTAAACAATTCTTTATTTGTCAATTTACCTTTCCGCCTGCTTGTTACAATATATTTCTTTTTACTCCAGGATTTGAAGTGGCAGGCTGCGGTGATATTAGGATCCGTGGACTTTCTGGGCAACCCTCTAGGCTTTGTGAACGACGTCACAGAAGGAGTATCCGGTTTAATTTACGAAGGAAGTGTGAAAACTTTAGTGAAGAATGTTACACATGGGATATCGAATTCCGCTGCCAAGGTAACGGAGTCTCTTTCCGATGGATTAGGAAGAGTCATAATGGACGAGAGACACGAGGAAGCTAGACAGAGAATTCGAGCTAATACGGCAGGTAGTGGTGATCATTTAGTAGCCGGATTGAAAGGTTTCGGTTTTGGGTTACTTGGAGGAGTAACTAGCATCTTTAAACAAACCTACGACGGAGCAACAAACGAAGGATTTCCCGTGTGTTTTTCTTTTTCTTCCTTAAATTAAAGATCAAATGGATTGCGAATTGATTAAATTACAATAAACGATTCCAGGGTTTTTTCGCTGGGTTTGGCAAAGGGGTTGTCGGGACCATCACGAAGCCTGTTGTAGGAGTTTTAGATCTTGCCACGGAAACTGCCACTGCCGTGAGAGAAACCAGTAGAAGGTAACTGTATTTTAAATTCCATTCAATTTATATTCGATTAATTATATTTATGATTTCTCTCTATTTATTTGTGATGTATTCAGCGCTCATCGCACCATACCAAAACGTGATAGACCTCCTCGCGTGGCTAGTGGTCCTGCTGGTCTGCTACCACCTTACAACCGTCAGCAAGCGGAGGGCCAAGAATTTCTTTACATAATAAACGAACACAATTATTCTGAATTATTCGTGGCGTACGAGTGTTTACGCAGTGGAACGGAGAATCTGAGAGTTCTCGTTTCTAACGAAAGGGTCCGCGTGATTTCCGGTGGTACCAAAGGGGTCGTAACTGAAGTGAGCCTGGCGGATCTGTTATATTGCCAACCGACGCATAAGCTAGAAAGCAACGGTGTCACTTTGTACTACATTGAATTAATATCCAGATCTGATTCGACAATAACTGTCAATATAGACGGCCCAGAGCTTCTGAGGAGACCTAAAGTTCGATGTGACAACGAGGAAGTAGCCAAAAGGGTCAGTGTTGATATAAAATTTATTTAATCGTTATTATTAATACATCGGTATTATTTTTTATTTGTTACAGGTGTCCCAGCAAATTAATTACGCCAAGGGGATGCACGAGGAACGTAGCCTGACTCTCTCCTCGTCGGATAATATGTTAGACGATGTACAATACTATAAGTAATTGCGGACGATCATACGTGAACATTTTCTATTTTGTGTTCGATCGGAAGTTTGGAATCGCTGTGTATTTAAAAAAAAAGAAACGTAGGAATTTTCGTAGGAGAATTATCAACTTTCTCAAAAACTGTTCCACTCTCGGTATTGATTCTGGAACAGTAAAAAAAATTAATCAACTAACTCGGTATCAGTAAAATAAGACAAATAATCCAAACTTGTTGACAATGTATATTTCACATGCTAGTCAATTCTCGGTTTCTTTGTGTGTTTCTTGCTTCGGTTCTTTTCTTTTTTTCTTTTTTTTTTTAATAATGCATATAAAATGTACCTTATTACGCTTAAAACTAATTTAATTGTAAGACTGATGCGAGACACCGTTTTTGCAATGCAGCGTTTGTGAGTTTCAAATGTAAGATCGGTTCAGACAATATTCTTCAGATGAAGATGTTTGATTATCGCACAGATAGTACGTACATTTACACACACATACACATTTTGTATATTAACGTACAAGTAGGATACAAGCAGAAAGTCTAAAAAAAAAAGACAAAATTTTTTTTATAGGATGTGTGTGTTATGTGTATGTATACATACACGCACGCACATACATACTATCATACACATGTATATATACATAAGATATGTGTAAGATATTGTTAAGGCATCTATTTCAGGTAAATCTACTTAATACTGAGTAAAATATACGGGAAAAAAGGTAATAAGAAACCAAAGTTTTTATAATAGTATAGGATATTTATTTTCTATAATAACGAGTTTGATATCATGCAGACTATTTTTTCGTTTGTAACTATATATATTTTTTATGTCGTTCATTGTAAAAAGGTGACACGATTATATCACTAACCAAGTATTAGATATCGTACATTCTTCTTCTAAACATTATAAACGTAAAGTGTAAGGTAAAAGAACGTTTAGTTTAAAACAAAAAAAGAAACTTGTACAGACATTGTAAAATTCGAGATCGTCAGCTT